TTTGCATTTGGACATATACCAAGAGATAATGCTCTAGGTGTTTTTAGATGCAATATCCAATATAAACAACAAAAACACAATGTAAGATTTCCTCACTCTATCATCCAAATGACCATTACATTCTTTTCCCCAAAGAACACTAAATAATGATATATATTTTCAAATAAGTAAATCATCTGCAATTGGTAAAGATCAAATGTAATGCATAGAAACACTTCAGTTTCCCTTTGAAAATAATGATTTGGGGTAGTAACTTTTTAAGGTATTTAAAACAGAAACTTAWAATTTCTCAGGGATATTATTATTTCAAATACGTTGTAGTACTTTGAATATTTGAAAATATAGTTTTGCACTTTTAGAATTGCATGGATTTTAACAAAAAAAAGAAATGTACTACCTATTATAAGCAAAGTATCTTAATTAATTTTTGAATATTTAATACTGGTAAATCACCATTTAAAATGATAGACAGAATTTACACAGTGAAATCTAAATCAAAATATATTTTAAATAATCTATAATAATGATTAAGTATTCAGAAACTAAGGACCATTTAACTAATGGCAAGACACTCTTTAACAAGGTATTAAAACTGTCAAAAATTTCATGGGACATAGCCAACTCATGGTGAGTTCCTACTGTATTCTAAGTAACTGGGAAAGTCACTTTGCATGTAAATGTGTCTGTGTCACAATTTCAGTTAGGATGATTTGAGACAGATAAGTAATCCTTGCCATTTTACAAATGAGGAAAAAGACACTTGGAAAGATCACCTTCCAAGGGCACCATGGTGTAGCTGAAATTTTATGGATATATCAGACTCCAAAGTGCCTCCAGTCTTTTGATATTAACTTTCAGTTTGTTTATTTGGAATGGATATAGGAAGTACCATTTTCCCTAAGAGTTATGAGATTTACTTGAAATCATCTAGGAAAAGAGCCTGGCTCATTACAGGCATTCAATTTCCMTTCCCATTGACTTATTTTTTTCCTTTTTTCTAAACATGCTTATCAAGATTTAATGGCTATGCAAATACACTATATATATTTAAGGCACACCATTTAATAAATTTTGACACAAGTATACAGAATCAAGATAATCAACAAAGTCAATCCTCTCACATTTCCTCATTATGTTGTCTGTTTGTAGCATCTTCATGCCCTCTTTCATAATCCTAGCAACCACTGCTTTGCTTTCTGTCACTGGAGTTTAGTTTTCATTTTTAAATTTTTCTACAAAAGGAATCTCACAGAATTTACTCTTTTCATCTGGCTCTGTTCATGTAGCGTAATTATTTTGCAGTTTGTCCATGTTGTTGTATGTGTCAAAACTTCTTTTTTTTTCCTGTGCAAGTTATATCATTATATTCTCATATAGATATAGCACAATTTGTTCACTCTGACCATCAGCTTATTTTTATTTTTTAAAAATTTTAAAATACTTAAATGACAAAGATTGAATATGTTGAGACTATACAATAAAAATTATATACATACATATTATGCAATGATTGTAACAATCAAATTAATTAACATACCCACCATCACCCATAGTGTATGTTAGATGCCCAGAACTTGTCAATTTAATAACTGAATGTTTGTGTCCTTGGATCAACACCTTCCCATTTCGCTTACCCCCATCCCTTAATGAACACCAATGAATTCTCAAACATTTGGATCACAAACTACCAAATGCTCATGGTTATATACAATCTACCCCTGGCAGCAAAGGGAGCCAAGGTAAGAATAGAGAGACATTTTTTTAAAAAAATTTGTTCCATCTTTCCTTTTAACTCATTTGATCAATTATGATGATTCACTGGCATATTATCAAAATGTATATTTACCATCAGCTTCTTCCACTATGAAGGTAATAGTGGGAAAAGCCTATATAGAAATACAATCATATTCTAGCTCACTGTGTAACAGATATTGAAAGATTAAGTATTCCAAAACCAAAACCTAAATTCATATTTAGGATATGCATTGTTTGATATTTTACCATATTTTTAATAACATTCATTTGCAGAAAAGTCATCTTATTCAGTTGTCCAAGGATTTCATTTTACCCAGTTAATTTCACAGGATTCATTGGTTAACATTAGACATTCTATTAAGCTTTCAAACAAGCAACCCATACCTTGAAATTGACTCAGGAAATTAACAGAATTTCTTATGCCACTTTTATTCTTTAAAGTACGTGAACAAACTACATAGCATTATTATTAGTTTGTAAAGAAGATTTAAAATKTAAAGAGGTTAAGTTTTGTCGCAAAGCACATACATTTAGTTAAGACTTCAGATTTGTAAATCATTCTTTGGGCTTCATTATGACTGGCAACCAAATATAACTGAAATTGTTATATTATTGGTACTTTTTTTCCAATTATTTTAATTGTTTATGAAAATCTTCAAAAACACACAAAATAGAATATTTTATTTCATGAAACTCTAACTCCATGAGTTCCTCCTACTTCCATGCACCATTACCCAATTTTGATAGTTTTCAACAATTTGTTAACTTAGTTTCATCTATTCTTTTGCCCACACTTGTTGGTAAAGCAAATCTCAGATACCATATTGTTTCAACTACCTACAACTCTCAAGTTTTCCTTAATAAACCTAATCAAAATATCATTACAACAAATAAACTATAACTTACTGTATAAATTAACAAAATAAAATATAATCCTATAACTCACTCAAATCTAAAAGTTCTGATTAACTCATTGAATTTTAAAAATATTTTTTTACTATTGTAACTTAAATGATACATAAAAACATAAAAATCAATGCATGTATATATGTGTAATTTATAAGTCAGATTAAAATATATTCTTTGAATATATTTTAAAATGAGTATACCAACAAGGAAGTCCCACAGAATTTAGCTTTTTTAAATATATGGCTGTCTTCCCTCCCCTATCATCAGGTCAGTTATCTGTCAAATAAATCACATTATTTATCCTATAGAATTCCTTGGTTACCTATTGACAATCTTCTGACATCTAACAATTTCTCTCCACTCATCCCATTACTTCCTAAAAATCATGGTTCCATCTAAATTTTTTTTAAATCCCAAATTAACTGGGCATGACAGTACATGCCTGTGACTAGAGATCCTGATGCAAAAGGATCACAAGTTTGAGGTCAACCTCAGGAAATTAGTGAGGTTCCAAGCAACTCAGCAAGACCGCATCTCAAAATAAAAAAATAAAAAGGGCTGGGGATGTAGCTCAGTGGTAAGATGTCCATTGGTTCAATTACCAATTTCAGAAAAATAAAGGACTAAAAATCCCAAATTAGCAAAATTCAGTTATATTCTTGTTCTTTACAAAAAAAATTAAATACCTTCAAAATTATGAGATTTGTTTCTGATCTGTTGTCATATTGTCAGAAAAATCCTCACTCATTTTCTTRGAGACTATATAAGTTATGGGATTGGGAATGAAGATTCAGCAAAACACCAAGAGGAAGAAAATATCTACTTATTACACTTAAGTGATGTTTAGGGGATTGAATAATATACACATTGACAATTTATTCCATCATCATAAAGCTCAACATGAAGAATCATTCTTATAATGCAATAGCAGGATGGACACCTCTCATTCCTTTTAATGACTGTTAAGTATAATATTGTATATTTAGTAAGTGTTCTATTGATGAAAATTTGAGATGTCCTAATATTTGCTATTACAAGTATTTTAATGCATAAGCACATATTCTGTATTTTCTCAGTATCATAGGATCACAAATATAGAAACTGCATAGTTGAATCTAAAGGTGAATGCAAACTAAATATTTTTAAAAATGTACAATTCTTCAGACAAATACATATGAATCACAAATTTTAGAAGCTATCTAGGTAAAAGTGAGAAAGATCTACATATATAAAAGGTTATCTATCAAATCAACTGCAAGAATAATATTGTGAAAAATTTGTATCTTAAAATATTTTCAACAAAAAATTTTACAAACAACTTCATTTCAGATTTTAGCCTAACATACAGTGTAAGAAAATGTAAGTATCACTATTAACATCTTTTGGAAATCATTAATATGATTATCATCTGTGGCATAAAGACACGGCATAAACAGAAGTTCATCATAAAATGTTATAGTTAGAAACTACTGTAGAGATTACGTCTAATACCCATTAGATAAAAATAAGGATGTTATGATCCAAGAGTTTGATTTTTCTTAAATTTATTCAGTAGAATCCAAAAATTTAAAGCTYGTATTTAACAATATTTCACATGAACTTTAAAATTGACTATATTTAAGGTATTATCAGAAATAAAAAATAGAATATAAAAGTTTACCTTTGTTGTCAAATATCTAAATTTGAATAATGGATTCTTATAAGCTACATGGAGTTATTTGGAAATCGAAAACATGATATTTTATGCTTTAATATAAATTTGATTTTTTTATGAATGTAGTGGTCCCCTTAATTCATTCAACATGGATTTATTACTCATATACTACAACCMTATGTGTGTTTATGTGTTTATGAGTATGTGTTTGTGGACACTATTTGGAATTATTAATTTTGAGCCAAATATTACTGCATCAGCATTAATCTCTGTAGTTATGGGGGAAAAAACAGTGGCTAAAATTTGGAATAGTAAATTTAGATCCACAAAACTTACATTTAGATACATAAAATAAATGAAAAGTGGGATTGTAGTTAATACTTTTGCCCTAAAGTAGAAAATGTTAACTTTTTACATTTTTCAGTATTCAGTTGGAATACTTTTCTTTGACAAAAATTTTATTTTATAGTTGTTTTCCTATTTTATAMATTTCTTCCAACCAGATCCAGGTTTCCATAATGAACTTCAAATATTATAACCCCATAGTACATTTTACAGTTCCCTTGCATATAAAATATAAAGGTTGATTTAAAAGACTGAATGCAGTCTCAATAATATTTAGCCTATCAGTGTAAGCTAAGTGACAAATATCAGTTATATTATGTATTTGTTCAACACTTACCTGAAGGATGAAGGTTCTGTTCCTCTAAAAATTCTAAATCGAGCATTAGATCATCTTCATCTAGTTCACAGGATCCCAGGTTATTTAAAACATCCTAAAAGAAAAAGAAAACCGATAATTACAAACTGATGTGCTGAGAAATGGAGGAAGTATGTACATGCAGAAGCCACAAGCGGTAAGAACTCAAAATCTCAGAAATGAGAAGTACCCAATGCATCTCAAAAGATATTTAAYTCTTAGAGACTCTAAAATTATCAGTCCAATAAAAAATTAAAAATCATTTTAAAAATTACCAATTTTCCATTTATTTTATTTTTATTTTTTTAGTTGTAGATGAACACACAGTATCATTATTTATTTTTATGTGGTGCTGAGGATTGAACCTAGTGCCTCACACATGYGAGGCAAATGCTTTATCTCTAAGCTACAGCCCCAACCCCTCCAGTTATGTTTTTTAACTGATATATATCTGTTAAAATTTATATCATTCAAATTATAATGCAATAAAAATATATATGAACAGGTGACAAACATATCAGAATATAGGAAAATATTTCTACATATTAAATATACTGACAATATTAGATATACCAAGAGTAGGGAGTTTTAAACAAACTCCAGAGATATGAAAAAGACTTTGCTGATCAAAAATTAAAAATATATATATATATAATATATATATATTATATATATATTATAAAAAATTAAATATATATATATATAATATATATTATATATATATTATATATATATATATTGCTTTTAAACAAATGTTTTATAGACTACCAACTGTGAAGTACTAATTTAGACAATATTTGGAAGTAGGGATCCAGTTAACATATCCAAATCATTTGCACTAAATTAAATAAAAAAATTAGACTAAAAGATAATTATTAATATTCATTATAAAACAATACAATAAAGATGAGATGTAATTCCTAATTTTTTTCAAGACTTATAACAAAATAAACTGGATGGGTATACACTGTTGAGAAGTTCTGAGGGGGGTGGAGATGCATACAAGAAGGAATTCTTGRGGGAGGAACAAAATCCTGATTTGCATATTTGTATATGTACATAGATGGGTGTATTAAGAAATATAAAACTTACATCTGTGGACTAAGAATGAAATAACAAAAGTACAAAAAGTACAACATCAAGAGAAATAGCCTATGTCAGATTACTTTCTCAATTGATGGGAATGTTACCATAATTTAAGTTGAAAGAAGTAAATATTCATTAAGGAAAGGCTAATGATATTGTCAAATGGATACTGAACACTTTAATTCTTGGAATTAAACTAAGGACACTGGGACTTTTAAATAAATCACTATCACTTTAACAAATAGAATTAAACATTATTAAACTTTAGAAACATGTGTGATCCATGAATACAGCAAAATGGTTTGAAAGGTGATATATATTCTCAAATCTAAGTGCTTCTTTTTCCTAACAAAGATAAGTCATACTTTAAACTATAAATAAAATCAACTGTTTATTGGAAGCTCAGTAGCCCAAGAAAGCCCAAGTAGCTCATCTATATACAACAAAGGATGGTGTCGGCAACAAAAAATAAGCTGTCACACTAAAAAGAGCAAAATAGGAGATTAAAACAACAGTGCTGGGCTCAATGATGCATGCCTGTAATTCTAGCAACTCTGCAGGATTGTGAGTTCAAAGCCAGTCTCAGCAATTTAGTGAGGCCCTAAGCAACTCAGCCAGACCCTGTCTCTAAATAAAATACAAAAAAAAAAAAAAGAAAAGAAAAAAGGACTGGAATGTGACTCAGAGGTTAATTGACTCTGGGAAAAATCCAGGTACAAAAAAAAAAAAAAAAAAAAAAAAAAAAAAAAAAAAAACCATCATGAGTTAAATGTGGAAAAGGAATGTTTAAAAGGGTGATTTTGTGAAGACACCATCATCAATGTCTATGAAGTACTATCCAAATGAAAGGCTATTAATCTAATAGTCAAGAATATATTAGTTAAACAAAAGAGACACTTTACTGTGAAACAGTAGTAATTTACTCAAATTTAAATCAGGCTAAATAATTTAACACTTGGACTTTCAATTCATTGGACTGAATTATGAACYTTCAAAATTCATATTCAATCCTAATCCCAACTAGCTTAAAATGTGACTATATTTGGGGAGGAGGCTCTTAAGGAGGGAGTTAAGGTTAAAAGAGGTCACATAGATGGATTCTAATCCAATGTGATTAGTATTTTTGTAAGAAGAAGAATTTAGGACAGAAGGACAATACTGTGAGGACATAGATAGAAGACAGGCCATTTGTAAACCAAAAAGAAAAATTTTCAGAGAAACCAAATCTGCCAACAATTTGACCTTGAACCTACAGCCTTCAGGACTGTTGGAAGGTAAATTTCTGTCCTTCAAGCCCCTTAGTATTTTGTTATAGAAGCCCTTGGAAACCAATACAACCAACAACATTGAGAAAGCAAGGAGGGAAGGAACAAAGGGAATAAATGAATACTAGGTATATTGAGGTCACTTTTTTTTTATTATGTCAAGTAAATGCATTTTACATTTTGTGTGCTTCTATTCCATGGTTTTCACATTCTTCCTTTAATTGGAACCACTGCAGTTCACCTAGCTGCCAGGTTCTTTTATGAGCCWAACTCTCTACTCTTGGTGAATGATCCAAGATGGGTATTTTACCCAACATCCTGACCAGAGCCATGTTCCAAAAACAAGAAATATGTCTGGTGATCAATACTGCGAGATGCAAAGTGCCACCAACAGAGGATCCATGGATTTCATTGTGTGGCCAAGACCAGCCTAAATGTACTTAAAAAATTGAATCATCATGGCAGAAGGACCCCTGGTTCCTGGTTCCAGAAATTCCTGAGATCCAGAAGCAAACATTATTTTTTCAAGGAGGTTTGTTTGGGCCCTTTTGAATTTTCAAAATTAACACATCCACCCACAATTTGAAAATAATTTTTAAATTACTTTTAATAGGGAAATGCTTGAAACTCTGACACTGKTATTCCAAAATTTCATATAGGAAAGTAAAGTTAATAAAAGGATCAATTAAATTTGGAAAACACAGTGCATTGTTCTTATTTTACTCTAATATTACAGGTGATGCTTGACATTTGTGCCGGTAGGGCTCCATCACTGGTCTACAAGAGTTGCTTCTTAAATCTATTTGTTCTAAATTGCCTTGCCTTGATATTATGTTTACAGAGCAACAATGTTGCTCTTCTACAAAGTCTTTGAAGCTGGAGAAACCTCATAATAAAGATGAATGGATATAGCAAGGTGAAATGTTACACAAAAAAAGTCAGTGTGAACTCATAAACCTAAAATATTTGGTTTTCCAGATCTCTTCCTAAAAAAGACAAACAGCAGCAGCATTACTTTTGTCTTCAGTCAGCTATTGAATATCCCTAGCATCTGGACGCTTGTTGTCTGATAGCCCCTAACAAGAAAGAACCAGGATTCCTTAACTATTATAAGGAAGAAAGGAAGAAAAAGAAGAGATATGGGGGAGGAGGGAGGAAGGAAACACAAGGCATGCTGGAACATGTCTTTGTTGCTAGAGAAAAAGTCAGTTTGTTTCAAAAGGCTGGCTAAGAAAAGCAACCTAAATGGAAAATCCACAGCTAAATGTTGACAGTATGAGCATAAAAAAAAGTGAATATTACAAAATAAAACAACTTGTGTCTGTCAAAGGTTATAAGTTCATAACACTAGAAGAGAAAAACTAATGTAAGAGATATAAAGAAGCACTACTAATACAAAAGAYAGGAAAGAATATCCTTAGTTTCCATAGTTTTTAATAAATAGATAATATATGGGTATTTTTTCTAATTACACATGTGTTTCTAAAATGTAGACATATATTTCTTACGGTCTGTATAAGCAGAGACTTGTAAATAAATCAGTAGCACCAAAAGTATTCCTGTACAAGGAACAGAAAGGACTAATCAGCACTGACAGTCACAGATAATAATCAGGTAAAAAAGGAGTTCAGGAACTAATTCATATTTTTTATCATATTCACAATATAAAAAAGAACAATTGTGCATTTCAGATTTGATCAATTAACAGAAGCTAGAAGTAGAGTGCTAGCTAGGTAGAAATAGGCCCTCATTTCCTGGTAGATAAAGTTGTTACCTAGTCCTATCTAATACAGAAATAAGAAGAGTCCATGCATGTTTAATAATGTTAACATGTCAACTCTATATATCACAACAGAAAACTCTGTCATAAACTCCACCAATAGGAACTTAAAAATCATTTTGTGTGAAGACACTGAATTATCACATAAAATTAAAAGCGAGGCTTCAGGATGTTTTGCTATTTTATTTTTTAAAGGCATAAAAGGTATCTAATGAGTAGAGTTTAATTGTAAACATAAAGTTCAACCTGATGGCCAGGATCTTTGGTTGGAATCTTCTCTAAATGTACAACAAAGTCCAATGAATAGATAATAGGTATCAACAACCAGAATTTGAAGATTTAGAAGATGACTTTCTTTTTCTTATAAGTCTAATATGGTTAATAAATRCTAGAAAAGTATAAAATTAGACTCCGCTGTGGAAAATATAAAATTCCCAGATCTGCAAAGTATAAGAAATAGGAAAAAGATGAAAAGAGATRTAAATGCCTAGGATTCAAAATTTGTAACCAGATTCAAGGCATGCTGATTTGCTATAGGAATGTTTTTAATATGTAGAATTTTCTTCTTTAAAAAATGATTMAAAAAGGAAATCCTGTCACATTTGCAACAACGTGAATTAACAAGGAGGACATAATGCTAAATGAGATAAACCAGGCACAGCAAGACAAATGCCAGGTGATCTCACATCTATATGGAATCTAAAGAAGTCTAATCCCTAGAAGCAGAAAATACAATGGAGGTTACCAGATGGTGGAAGGAAGAATGCATGTATCACTTAGGAGAAATAAGATCTGAAAATCTATGCTTCACCATGGTGATTACATTTAATAAGAATGTACTGTATACTTGAAAATTGCTTAGGGAGTAAACTATTTTCACTACCAAAATGTAAGTATGTGAGGTGATGGATGTGCTAATTAGCTTGATTAAATTATTCCACAAAA